CCATACCGCTGTGCCACTGGAGGGCGTATGCAATATACAATTTTAAAAGTTACGGCTTCTAATACTTCCCCACATTACGGCATTTAACCCTTAACTTTTAAACACTCACACACACATATATTTATAAGTTTACACAACAAAAATTTATTTGCTATTCAGTGACGCGTATGTAATTAGTGTCAGGTAGAAGACAACAAAATACAGACGAGTTAGTTTTTAAGCAACGCTGTATTAACTCCTGAAATAAAATGTTCAGCTGCTTTAACCCTCAGATTACTGATTTGTTTTGTATAGTTCTCTATCGATCGAGTCCACAAATTACATCTCACAGAGTAATAATGTCCTTGTTTTTGTATGTTGAAACTTTTATTGTAAAGAACTCATTAATAAGATTTTGTGAAACCATTAAAATTCTGTTTAAAATGCATATAGAACCCAAGCAGCAATTAGTGAGATTAAGTTCAATATTGCTATTAGAGAGAGTAATGGACAAAAAGCAATTAGTCGCTTGGAAAGTTTAGAAAAACGTTTCGATCGATTGATGTGTATATATATATATATACCCTAGCGGTGATTCTAGAAATTACTTCCATTGAATAAAAGTTGTTTATTTTAATTAAACAGACTATCTGTGGATCATTAACATTTAGGTAAATTACAATTTAAATAATATTATACTGGCAATACATACATCTTTTATGATCACTCACAAAGGTGTTGTTGTTCTTGTTTTGTTTTGTACGGCTACGTTTTGTTGTTGAAAAACAAGCACCTGCAAAATTGGCCATGTTGATTCAATTCTTTTGCATACCTGTAACTCTTTGTAAATATAAGAATTATTGGGTTTTGTTTTACAGACGTAAACATCGTAATCTATCGAACCAAGCACTTTGATCCTGATTGTGTTTCATTAACAGCTGTTCTGTAGTAATTTCAAGTTTATATAATTTATCATAACACAAAATGTAGGTGTGACTAAAAAAAATACATTTTAGGCCCTAAACGTTTCGACTGTTACGTTAAATAATCAAATAGATATACTAAAACTTGTTTCTTTTAACTTAATACATTACGTTGTGTGTATACAGTATTTGTAGTTAAAATGGCTTAAGAGTTAATCACACAGCATTAAATTTTCAAACATTTTCTAGAGGGGGTATGTCCCATAACTCCTAGAAATAACAATGTGGCAATGGCCTAACCACTCCGAAATTCATTCTTACGGCAGCGTTACGGATTTTAAATAATAGACGTGAAAAAATCATACATTTAAAAAACATAACGCACAGGAAAGTGATGAAAAAACACATCCGCAGCCTAACGTTATTTTTGTGACAAATACCAGGCCTGTTGGTTGACATTGTTTTGTCAACTTTTCATGCTTAAAATCGTAACTTGAAAATATCTATATCGTTACATAGTAAACAGGGTATTCAGCAAGTTCTGTGTTTTTAAGTAATAAAATAAGTTAATTAACATCGATAAGCAACAGAGCTACACTAAGCGTACTCCTGAAACATATCATTATTTACTAACACCGTCACCTGGTGGCGTTGAAATCCGTCACTCACTTACCCAGCTGTCACAATGAACATATCCAGTCGGTTCCAAGTGTCTGCCAAGTAGGTCGTTTTCCCCACAAGACCCATAGCCACAACCTTAATGATCATTTCCACGGAGAAGAAAGCAAAGATTAGATGATCAAATAACTGAAGAGTCTGACAACGACTGGACGCACACAACTCGTCTGCACATGGCTGATACATTCCTAATGTAACGCAGTTCAGAAGGATGATCATCATGCTGATTCTCTCGAACCACGTGGGAACAAAGTTAAGGAATGCACAACTGAAACTTCGTTACTTGGTAACTGACGAAACTGGAAAACTACTTATTCAGAAAAATAAAGCAACAACAACAACACACCTATACTTATTTTTTACTACACAGCGTGGTCACAAGTAAATAGACACCAC